CCACCCCAGAGACTGAGAATGGGACAAGCATACCCACTGTCTCTACTTGGAGTCAGCATTCGCTGGAGGACCAAGCCAATGCAATTTGTACATCAATCTGTATCCTGCAGCCATGCTGAACTTGTTTATTAACTCTAATAGGATTTGTGTGTGTGTGTATTCTTTAGGATTTTCTATATTCAAGATCATGTCATCTGCAAATACAGTTTTACTTCTTCCTTTACAATCTGGATGTCTTTTATTTCTTTTTCTTGTCCAATTGCCCAGACACAGCAATTTGGCAATCAGTAAATAAGGCATAAAGATTGGGAAAGGAAGAAATGAAACTGTTATTCGCAGAGGACATGGTCATACATAAAGAATCCGGAAACTATTAAAATTTAAATGAATTAGTAAGGCCACTCACTAGATACAAAGTCAACATACTTTTGTAGCAATAGAATCTCTATATACTACCAATAAACAAATATAAAACACCTAAGAGTAAATCTAATGAAAGATGTACAAGAACACTTTCCTGGAAACCACAAAACAGTTCTAAGAAACTTACAAAAGACCTAACACCACGTTACTGGATCAGAAGATTCAATATTGTAAAGTTGTCAAATGATCCCCGAATTGGTCAACATATTCAATGAAATACAATCAAATTATAGCACTTTATTTTGTGGAAATTGATCAGCTGATGCTTAAATGTTTTATGGAAATGCAAAGGGCTCCTTTCTGCTGGAGTCACCTTGTGCACAGGATTTGAGGCCAGCTCTCTCTGGTCCATGGGGAACATGCACGTATATTTTTCCCTGACTATGTTTGTAGAAGGAGGACAGCCCAATATAGAAACCCTCTTCCCCTGGATCAGAGCAGAGAGCCTGTTAGTCTCTGCCATTTAGATTTTTCAGGGGTGAGTCAGATATTCCAGTTCACTCTGTCTTGCAAAGAGGACTCTTATCAACTTTTCCAAGTGGCTCTGGAAAGGCCACTGCTAATCATGAATCTCACGTGGAATGTGGAGGAGGCTGGCACCCACTGGGATGTCAGGTGATACAGAAACAATTCCATATTAGTTTCCTGCTCCGTAAACACACAGAGAACGATTATGTGTGTGCTATGAAGCTATTAGAAACGACACTTTGTAGACTACTTTGAAAATGCGCAAGTGAAGTAAGTGAGAAAAATCAAACACAAGATACTGTGTCCACATGGACCACTGCCAGGCAAGCTTGCATTTGTGCAGTGACAGAGACAGGAAGACAAGTAAAAGGCACAAACTCAGTATAACATTCAATACCTTATTTTGTTGAAGTTGCTTCACTGTGTAAGAAAAAGATACCAGTTCAAAGCTCTGTTCTATTTGTACAACAACCGTGAGTTGACTCTGCAAGCTCCACCGAATACCCACTGCCTGTTTCGGTGACAGTGACAAGCACAATCGCTGCTTGTTAGCTCGAGTACAGCTTCTGGGGAGTTGATGTCTGTGATTTGTGGGGACTTCCGCCTTAATGAATTATATTGACACCACAGCACAACGATCACACTGGAATCCCTGGGTGTACAGGAAACGTTCTCAGCCCTGTGGGCTACACTATGGCCACGCGGCTTCCACCGTGTCCTGCTCGACGTGAACAGAAACTGAGTGCTGTGAGATTCGGGAGACCACGGAAGCCAGCAGGTAACGGGGGTGTGAGGTTGTGGACCCTGGGGAGGGTGGGCCGTGGACAAAACTTGACATCATGTGCTGGGCGGGATTGGGCATCGCCCCAGAGAGGGACCTAACACACAGGTGAGGCCCTCTTCACCTGGCACAGTGGGCCACGCTGACACTGGTCCACCAGTCGGTACCTGAGCAGGCTGCTCACAGCATTCTCCCCACCACTGCCCCGAGCGGTGTGTTTCCTCTGCCAGGCAGATGGTGGAGAAAGTCCAGCGGAGGAGCAGCGGGTCATCAGCTGCATCAAGACACCGTCGGCTTTCTCAGACGGAGCCCAGGTGTGCCCGGCGCGTCCATGCAGCACGCACAGCCATGCCGTCGCCACACGGAGTATTTCTTCAGAACCCGTGGGGTCCCAGCCTGACTCAGGCCCAGGAGCCAGGACTCCACGCCCGGGCAGCCCCGCAGGTAAGGACGGACGGGGTGTGTGCGGAGTGCACTGGCCACAGCTGCTGACCAGGGAGATGCCGGATGAAACGTCCCTGCCTGTGGCCATCCCGAGCGACTGTGAGGAGAGCGGGTCCCGAGGCAGAGCCGTGGTCCTGGGCGCCCGTCAGGGCTCGGAGGTGCGGCCGAGCGCGTGCCAGCGCTTCACCAGCTCCTTGGGCCTGCTGAGCATCCGGTCCCAGTGCTCCAGCTCCCTGCCCCGCGTGTACATGTAGGGGCCCACCACCACCCGGCCCAGCGGCCGGCTCTCTGCGGGAGAGAGAGCGCTGGTGTGCTCCTGAGCACAGAACGCGTCCCCAGCAACATCCCCAGCGACCTCTCTCACCCACTCACCCCTGCCCTGGAAGGAAGTGGCAACGAGCACCAGCTGACGGCCCCCAAAGGGGCCCCCTTTGCTCTGGGGCTGGAAGGGCTGCTTCTCCCCCCAACTCCACCCCCAGAGGTGGCGGGGGAGGGGAGCCCAGGTGGAGAGCCCACCCTCAGGGCCACCCCCTGCCCCGTTCCCTGCTGCGGGGCCACGTTAAGCCTACTTCACCTCAAAGAGCTGAGGGAGGAAAGGGCCCCTCCAGAAAGAAGGCCTCTTCCATCAGTGAGAACATTCGACAGTGCTGTTCACCAACTGCCACAGTGGGGAATGGCCTTAAGTCCAGTCCATGGTCCCAGCCACTGGTCCCAGACAGTGGCAGTGGGCAGCAGGTACGGGGCAGTGCTGGAGAGCTGGCTGGGATAACTCGCCCAGGACCCTAAAGGCTTGTCTAGAGGGTGCGAGGAAATGCGGGGCATGCCACTGCCCACAGCACCAGGTCCCTTGGCTGGTGGCAGGCACTGTGCTGCCTCCCGACCTCTCCGGAGAGCTGCCCCCGGAGGGGTTGAGTAGCAGAGGCCATTGCTTAACCTCTTTCTAGGGTACCACACAGAGTCCAATCGGACTCCGGCTGGGCACGAATCCCAGCCCTGCTGCCAGTAAGCTGCATGTCCCTGGACAAGTGTCTCAGCCTCTCTGAGCACTAGTTTCCTTAACCTGGGGACAGAGCTCATGCAGCTCCTCCCAGGCCAGGGCAGGAGGCATTCGCTCTGCCTGAACATGCAGCAGCCCCTCCCCTGCCCGTCACCCCAACAGCCTGGGGTGGGGGGAGCAGCCTTACTGTCCCCTTCCAGGCTCTGCATCACTGTGAGGCTGAGGCTGGCGGTGTCCAGCTCGGTGGCGTCAGTCTTGAAGCTGAAGGTCTCGTTGTACACGGGGTTGATGGAGCCCAGCACAGCCGACGTCTTCTTGCACTTGACGAACTTGTTGTGGTTCATCAGAGACACTCTGACAAACACACCTAGGGCAGCGCACACCAGCGGGCTGAGGAGGCGGGCAGGAGCCCAGCCCACGGGGGCGGTCTGGCTAGGAGGGCACGTGCCCAACCCGTGCGGGGTCCCGGCGGCAGGAAGCGGTGGATGGGCGTGCTGCCTCACACCCTAGGAGCGCTCCGCTCCCTCCCTGCTCCTTCCTGTCTCAGGAACATGCCCAGGGCTCAGGCTGGCCCTGTTTACCGGAGCCTGGCACCACATGCCCGTGGGGACCACATGCGCACTGGGTCCTCAGGCCTGCTGGGGCCCCTTAAACACCTGCGTGTTCAGAGGGCTGAGATTTTGAGGGTGGGGGCAGAGGGCTTTGGATCTGCAGCGGAGGGTCTGAGTCCTAGTTGGCTTACAGTGACCCTGATGCAAAGACCAGCAGGTGGCCGATGACCACCACTTCGCTGGGGCGACCTGTGTAGGGGTGGGGTGAGCCAGGGCCCCCTTCCCCCGCTCCTGTGTTCTGGGAGGCTGGGGGACAGGTGTACTGCCTGCCCAGCGTTGGTGCCCTAGTGAGTGGGCAGTCCTCCCCTGGGGGAGGGGTGTGGGTGGTGTCCTGGAAGAACGGGACCCCTCAGCTGACGGAAAGGTGGAGGTGGAGGTGGGCAGGGCAGTTCGAGGAGCTAAGACACTGCCTTGGGAAACGGAAGGGCCAGGACTTGGTCTTGGGGTCAGGGTAAAACCCTCGGAGGAGGCTGAGGACATGCAGCCTTGGGTTCAACATGGCAAGGGGCTTCTGGCACCGGAACTGTCCACAGAGGGAGGGCACGTCTCATGAGGTAATGAGCCCTCCGTGATGCGGTATATGCAAGCAGAAATTGGACGGTCAGGGGTGAGGGTCGGACTCTAGCCCCAGGCCCCAAGCTCAGCGGGCAGGACCTTCCCGAGAAGCAAAAGGGAAGAACTCACTGACAACACCCTTGTCCTCCTGGAGCCGGAGGCCCTTGGCACGCAGCACGACCACGGTCAGGCGGCTCAGGTAGTCGTTGTAGCCGAGGCAGAACTGGAGGTCGCCAAACTCCGAGGGAGGCTGGGGAGGCCGAGATGGACGCGCCCTAGCCTCGTCACTCTGACAGGTGCCTCCCCGCCTCCTCCCGGCAGTGCACAGGACACAGCCACAAGGTCTCCTTTGAGCCCCGCCGCCATTTACTAGTTGGGGACACTGGGGTCTGGAGAGCCGCGGGACTTGCGCAGTCGTGTGGACCAGACCTAAGGATCTGTACCCAGGTCTGCAGGGTTCCAAAGCCTATTCTGAGCCACCTGTCCTTCCTGGGGGGTGGGGGAACTTTTCCCTGGGCTGGACTATTTGTGGTGTCACTTTCACAGCTATCTGACCGGGGTGGGCATCCAAACACGGATTTTTCAGGTCTCTCTAGTGTGTAAGGAACTCAGGCGGCCCTTCCCTGCCCAGGGGAGAGGCATCCCCCCAGCCAGCAGCGTGGGGCCTGGGTCACTCTCGTAAGGTGGTGTGCAGTATGTGAGGGCTGCCGCTGGCCGACAGGCGCTGGGCCCTGTGCACACCCGCTGGCTGCCTGCGGCACTGCCGACACTCTGGTGACCTCGACCTTACTTCCAGGCTCTCGGCCTCCAGGTCTCTCCAGATGACGCGCCGGCAGTCACCTGCCAGGGTCTCGTGCTTCAGGGGGAACAGCACCTGGCCCAGGAGCTGGTGTTTCCTCTGCCTGTCCACGTGGTACACCGAGAACCTCAGCACCCTCTGGGTGACGCTCTTGCTGGACACCTGGGGGAGACGCGGGGTTGGGGCACGAGAGGGTGTGACTCATTGTCCTGAGCACAGGCACTTTAGGGGAGGGGATGTCTCAACCAGGGACCTACACCCCCCAGAGCCCGGCATTTTCAGGGGATCCTTCTCAGCAGTGGGGCAAAGTAGCCCCAGGAAGTGGGAGTGTGTGCCAGGGCCTTGCTACCCAGAGCGTGGTCCGAGGAGCCACAGCGCCCACTACCACCTGGGGCCTTGTTAGAAATGCGGGAGCCACGGATGGGCACCTGCCATTTAGCAGGCGCTGCAGGTGTGACATGCCTGCACAGTAAGTGTGAGGGCCCTGTCCGGGGCCTGGGACACTGGCCTGCCCTGCCCTCTGCATCAGGCGCGCCAGCTCGGCCCCCGAGACTTGGCCTCCTCACCTTCGAAATGGGGATATCACCCCGGTCTCAGCGCCTGACCCATTAATACTGGTTTCAATACTGATTTTCTCCTCTCCCCCTTTCTCCTCCTTCCCTTTCCCTTTCACGGCATGGAGGGGCAGGATCTAGTTGGGGCGGGATGGGAGGGCGAAGTGGTGAGTGGAGAAAAATAAGCAGGCAAGCGTGACACGTGGCCGTGCAGGCCAGCAAGGAAGCAGCCTCGGATCTGGTCCTGAGAAGAGTGGATTCACCTGTTAATTCTCACAGCCTTGGCCCCAGCAGGGTGGCCCGGGACCAGGCCCCACAGCCCCCCTCTTCCCAGCTCTCCACCTGGGAGGAAAGCGCGAATCGGGGTGCCGGCCTCGGCAGTCACACTCTTCCTGGAAGCTGGCCTCTCCTTACCTCTTCAGCCAGCCCGAGAAAATGTTTGTCCAAGGCCTGTCGGCAGACCTTGATTGCCGGCTTCCCCCGAGGGGCCCGGTCACCTGCTGAGGCTCCCAGGCCCCAGCGCAACTGGCTCAGTGCCCTGACAGCCTGGCTACGTCCAGACCCTGACCTGCCAGCCCAAGGTGCGGCAACGGCTCCAGGATGGCTCTCGGACAGTTCCTGTCCCCACCTCCACCTTCCTTGGATCATCTTGCCAGAAACTCCACACTGCTCCAGGGCTTTGGGGTGCTTCCCTTGAACCCCACGGCCCAGGGCCTGGCATTCACTAGGTGCTCCAAAAACGTGTTTTCTCTTTGTCTCCTCCAGACAGACAGGATAGGAGGAGCTCAGCCTTCTGGCCACTCCCTCTCCAAGTCTCTCCTCCGCCCGCCCCATCAGGGGTCGGTTCCTCTGGGCCCTGACCCTGCGGGCTGGGTAAAGCAGAGCTGGTGGCATCGAGGGTACCAGGGCCGCGGGGTGGGGCTGGTGCAGCAGGCTGGGGCTCTCCTGCACAATGCCTGCTCCTTCCCTGGAGGCCGCAAGACCCCAGGCCCTGCCTGCTCCAGAGGCCGTACCTGGAAGATGAAGTGCTCGTCAAACTGCGGGTTGGAGGTTTTGCGTTTGGTCTTGGACTGGAGGAAGCGCCGCTCATCGGGCAGCAGGTGAAGCTTCACCAAGGGGCTGCAGGTCTCTGAGGGGGCTTGCAGCTGCCGCGCCTTGATCAAGCCCACCAGCAGCCGCTCGGCCTCCTGCTGGTATTCCACGGAGAACCACAGCCGCCCTAGGCAGCCAGCAGGGAAGTCGGTCTCACTCTTGTCCTCCGAGAACTTGTAGAGCTCTGGGTTGATGGCCCCCACCACACATGTGTCTCCTGCAATGGAGGGTGGGAGGGCTGGCAGGGAAGGCAAGGGCGTGGAGAGGGCAGCAAGCCCTGTCCCGGCCCATCCCTCTCCACTGAGCCTCAGCTGGCTGACCACATCCGCCCCACTCCCTTCTCCAGACTGAACACACCCCCTCCCCATGCGGCTGCTTCAGGAAGCCTCAGCACGGAGGCGCTGCGCAGCCAGGCCCGGGCCCCAGCAGGGTGCAGCGTTCATTTGACACTGCCCCGCACCGCTGCCCCTGTGATCCACCCCACCCCTGGAGGTCAGGGCTCCTTTCAGGGACAAATGTCCAGCACCTGGCCGGGCCCCTTTCCATGGTGTCTAGAGAATGACTCAGTGATAAGGTGTTGCCTTTTTTCTTCCTCTTCGAATTTGAAGGGCCAAGCTGATTACCGAGTGGTTGCTGGGAAGCTCTCTCAGGGGATCTTCTGTGGTGGCAGAAAGCTGTGTTCCCAGCTCCTAGCATTCTGCCCTCCCGGTTGGCCAGCCCATCCTTCGGGAACAGGACCCAGCACAAGTTCTGTACCTGGGTATGCCTGGGTTCCAAGGCCAAGTCTGTCACTTATGGTCTCTATGACCTTGGGCAAGGCACTGTTAACCTTCCTGAGCCTCAGTTTATGACTGTGTAAAATGGGGCGATAATTCTTCCCCACGGAGTTGTGCTGAGGTCTCACTCCAAAATGGCACGAGGCTATATCTCACCCTGCATGGGGTGCGGCAGGCACTTGGTAAACGAAAGTACCCAGAAAGAGTGGTCACCAGGCAACCCTGGCATCCCTGGGCTGGTTCAGGCTGTGTCTGGAGCTAGGCCGGTGACAGCAGATGGGTCCACCTGAGTGGACCCTGACCCCCGGGCACCCCCGGCGGGAGCACTCACCAAGGTTGCTGCTGGGGGCATGAGGCAGGAGCTCCGGGGCTGGGCAGGGGTCCCGTGGGGCCTGAGCCCACTCTCCACTGTGCAGGGGCACCCAGTCTCGGCCTCGGAGGGAAGGGGGAAGCACAAACGGCACACCTGGAGGCCTGTCCAGAGGGAGGGGACGGCAAGAGGTGGCAAGTGAGTGGTGCAGACTCAGAGCACCCAGCCAAGGGGGTGGAGCCCAGGGGCTGGGGGAAGAAAACCAGTGGGAGCCAGGAGGTGCAAGAGCACCGTTTTCAGGGCCCACACCAGCACCCTCCACCCACCGCCCCCCTCACAGTCAGAGCCAAGCCCTCTGTCTGCCCCAGGCAGCAGGATGTTGGAGAAAGAACACAGTCTCTGACACCAGCCTGTGTGGGTTTCGATTCCTGTTCTACCTCTTGCTAGTTGCTGCTATCTGGATCTGATAACTTGTGTCCCCTGAGCCTCAGTCTCCACAGCTGGAAAATGGGGTTCATAATGCCTGCCACTAGCCTGGGGTGAAGTTTCTGGGGTTTGTGAACGCTCCTGGCAAGGTGACCAGCATGGAGGAGGCACTCTATTAACAGGACTTTCCTTTCCCAACCCACCCCAAGGGAAACGCCACAGGGAGGGCCCTAGGCCAAGGCCAGGAGCCCACTAGGCCCCACATCCTGCCTCACCTGCTGGGTGGGGTCCTGGCATGCGGCTCGCAGAGCTTGTCCCCATGTCTGCTGGAGGTGGCTGTGGTGGCCACGGCTGGTGTTCCTGGCAGCTCCTCATAGGCAAGGGTGGCACAGAGCCTCCTCCACAGACAGCAGCTCACCCCGACCAACAGCAGCAGCAGCCCCCCGGCGATGCCCCCAATCACCAGGGCCAGCTGCTCTGGGGACAGAGACCACCAGGACTGTGCTGCCTCAGGGAAAGCTGTTCCCCTCACCCCCCTGGCCTGCTGGGGGCACACTGGGGCAGCATCTCCGCCCTGGGTTGGATCCCAGAGGGGCACAGAAGCAGGCTTCCTGTGTCTGCAGGGCAGGGGTGCTGCTGGCTGGGCTCTGCCAGGTCTCAGCGGAAAAGCCATTTCCCCTGGGGTCCCAGTGCCCTGGGCAGAGCATTCTGGTTTGCCTCTGAAAGCACCTGGCCCCGGCCTTGGGATTCTGGCTGGAGCATTTCCTTGTGCTTCTGAGTAGAAATCGGACCTCCCCTCACCACGACCTCCGTTTCCCCGGGGCTCCTGTGGAGGCTGGTGGGGGAGGAGGGGACAGGGATGTGCTTGGGTGGGCGCCATCCCTGAGGGAAAGCCCAGGCAGGAACCGCTGCCCTCGCTTGCATTCAGGACTCCATTCTCTGGGGTCCTGGAACCTCCTGTGCGGCTGGACTCCGCTTAGGTTCTGTAACCTTCTCTAGCACCCACTCCCTTCCCTAGCCCGCTATCAAGGGGAGCCCATACTTAGGGCAGTCGGTGGGAGGCGGTGGAGGTGAGGAGAGGGCAGCGGGTATGAGAAATGCAGGTGCTCTTTGCTGCTGGCACCCCGCGGGGACCTGGAAGGCTTCCAGATGCTTGTTCCACTCACCAGCAGCCCAGGCTGGGCAAAGAAAGTGCGGGCTCCGGGGTCTGGACGGGGTGGGGTGGTGAGAAGGCGGGACCCCTACACTTCCTAAGCCTCAACCGACTGCGAGGAGCGAGACCCAGCCTCCACTCCACCCCAGCACCCCCCAGGAGCGGGGCGGCGGCGGAGGCAAGTCCTGGCACGGGCGGCCGAGGGGCCGAGGGGCCGCCGCGCTGGGGCTGCGATGGGGAGGCGGGGGCACTTACCCGCCATGGGGCTGCTCCGGCCGGCCCTTGGGGCCCTGGCCCGGGCTGGGTCTCGCGGGCCGGGTCTCGGGGGTCTCGGCGCCTCCAGCTGCGGCTTTGGCGCCAGCTCTTAAAGCGCGGCGGGGCAGTGGGACGTGCGCGGGGGCGGTCCGTCGTCGCGCCGCCGCCGCCCTGCCGCGATGCTGGCGGCCACACGCTGGACGGCTGGGGCAGGGACTCGGCGCTCCGAGGCCGCAGCTCCGCCCAGTCCGGGCCTGGCCTCGGCCCAGGAGGCCGCGGAGCCGACCGTGCGCTGCCGGAAACCGCAGGGCTCCGGCCAGGGCGGGTCTCGGGCGCCGGTGCCAGGGGCGCCCGGGGCTCCCTACGGCTTCGGCCAGGGCGGGATGCGCGGGTCGCCCCCTCCCGGAGGGCAGAACTACAGCTTTCTCCGCACACGTCGGACAGAGGGCTGTACCTGGTTCCTCACACTCGGTGGCTTTGGCACGAGCCTGCGCCCTCCGCCGATCCTCCCGGGGCTGCGGCTGCGCCTCCGCCGGGCGCGGCTCCGACCCTGGCTGGAGGGAGCCCTCCCGGCTCCCAGGACGAGTCTCCGCGTCCGTCTGGGGCCCGGGCTGCCGGTCCGACCGCCCCGGCGCTGCAGCGCTCAAGCGAGCCGTTCGCTGTCTCAGCAGACAAAGTAACCAGGTCGATTCTCAAGCCGGACCTGGGTTCCAACTCAGCTTCCCCACTCGCCAGCGTGCGATTTGGCCAATGTAACTTCAGCACTCTGGGCTCACTTCCCTCATCTGAGTGAATAGCGCCCCTCGAGAATCAATGTATTCCAGGGGCTCTTACAACGGCTCTTACAACGCCGACTGGCCCGGCGGTGGCTTACAGTGCACGTAGGGGTGCTTACGAAGGTGGCGCAGCGCGTCCCCGCCGCTGCGATGGTGATCATCGGATGGAGGGCAGCGTCACCTGGGTCCCCTTCGCAACCACAGCCCCGTTATCATGGTGGTTACTAGAACTCAGGGCCGGCGCCCACCAGTCCAGTTTGGTGATCACGGCCTCGACGGAGGGGCTTTTGTAAGGGCCCGCGCGGCGCCGCCCGGTCGGTGGATGCGCACACCAGTGGCGCCCACCCAGCGCCCCGGTGGAGGCTCTGGTGGGGAATGTCTGAGACCTGAGGCGTTTGTAAGTGGAGACCAAAAGGAGTATGTGTGAGTGAGTGTGAGTGTGTGTGTGTGTGTGTGTGTGTGTGTGTGTGTGTGTGTGTGTGTAGGGGCAGCGGGATTGGTCTTGTTGTTTTGCAGCCTTGAAAGTTGTGTCCAAAGACAGAGCCTGGGCCCTGCTCCGCTGCAGCACCGGCGCCTATAGCAGGAGGCCGTGCAGGCAGGCAGTGTGCCTGAGGCCCTGCGTCGCCGGAGCTTTGGATCACTTGAGGTGGGATGGGTGGTGAACTGGGGTTCCCCTCACCTCCCTGGGGCAGGGTCTGGGAGCCGTGGGTGCACCTATGTGTGGAGGCAGCAGCCACTCACCTTCTGGGGTCTGGATGGGGGTGTGGGGGGGTGGTGAGAAGGTGGGACCCAAACAGTTTGCCCAGCAACTCAGCCCGAGGAGCTGGGCCCCCTGTCTATTCCACCGCGGCCGGGGCAGGCAGGGCATTGCCCCACCTGCCTCCTTCCTCCCGCACACCTGCCGGCTGGGCAGTCAGATTGGCTGCAGTGTCTGGAGAATCCCAGGCCCTGACTTCTGCTTCTCCCAGTGACTGTGGGGGCGGTGTCTCAGGAAATAGGGCCTGGGATCCCCGCTAGACCTCCCATGTTTCCCCTCAGGTCTGAGTTAGATATGTTTCCGTATTAGTTTCCTGTTGCTGCTGTGACAAATTGCCACAGATTTGCTGGTTTGAACCACAAATTTATCTTACAGTTCTGGGGGTGGGAAATCTAACATGGGCTGGCAGGGCTGCGTTCCTTTTGAAGGCCAGGGCAGAAGCCGTTTCCTTGGCCTTTCCAGTTTCTAGAGGCGGCTGCTTGCATCCCCTTCCTTCATCCGTGAGGCCGGCAGCACAGCCTTTCCCCATCTCCCCTGCTCCGGGCCATTTGCATGTCAACGCATTCTGCCTCCCTCTTTCTAGGACCTTTGTGATCACTCACCAGATAATCCGGGATGGCTTGTCATCTCAGGATCATTAACTTAATCACAAGTGCGAAGTCTCTTTCCCTGTGTAAGGCACTCTGCTCACAGGTTCTGAGGACTAGGCTGTGGGCGTCCTTGGGGCTTCGTCGTGCTGACCACAGTGTCCGTGCAGCCCGTGGGAGGGAGGGTTTACGTTCCCCTCCTCCTGCCTGGAGCTCTCAGCGTGGCTCAAGGCTGGGCTCAGGCAGCTAGCAAGGCCCACGTGACTGTGCGTGGTAAGTGACCCTGTGGTAACCCTTCAGTTGCCTTGACCCCTCCCCCCAGCTGCCCTGCACCTGGTCTGCCCACCCCCATGGGGCACGGCACCCACCCGCACCAGCTGCCTCCATGGGGACCTGAGCTGCGCTCGGGCTATTCTGGGTGGGGGGTGGGGTAGTGGGTGCTCTTTGAAAAGGGAATGCCTTGTGGCCAGTCAGAAAGTGCCAGGCCCAGAGCTTCCATCCTCCCCACTCCCATGCTGTGCCTTTCCAGGGCTCCCATCTTCTTCTTCTTCCCTGGCTGTCGCCAAGTCCTGCCCACTCTTCCTCCTGGGCCTCACCCGGCTCCCTCTTGCCGCTGCTCTCTCCCTGCCTGAAACACTCGGAACCCTCCCACCCTCCCGCCCTCCTCACCCACTGCTCACCCTTCAAGAGGGACCTCCAGCAGCTTCTTTTCTGTGAAGCCTTCATCACCCCCTCTCCTTCCCTCACTGTCCTTTCAGCTGCCACGTGGGTATGGGACTCTGCCTGTGACTGCCACCCACCCCACTGCTCCCGGCAGACCAGGCCCTCTGTGAAGACGGGGCCGCATCTTATTCAGCTCCGCATCCCCAGAACCTGGGGCCAAGGCTGCGCTGGACAGTCGATGAAGGGCGTGTGTCCCGGGCATGAGCTGGCCCCGGCTTCTGCCTGCGTTCTCCTGCATCACACTTCGGGGCCTGGCAGGAGAGCCGCACCCTGCTCCTGGAGACCAGCCCTGCGGCTGGCGCTCACGTTCCAGCTCTGTCTGCGAGCACCTTGCACATCTAGCCAGCCCAGTGAGCTGGGAGTTTTCCTCCTCCTTCCTTTCTGCTCCTGATGTTCTGGGCACTGGGATGCAGGCTCAACCTATACCATCCCACTGAGCCCTGCCTCAGGTCAGCCCTGTGGGGCCAGGACCACCCCCTCAAAGAGGCTTCGTGGCCTTCCCAGTAAGTGGTGGAGGTAGGCCCAGTACCTGGCCCCTCCATTCCCTCCTCCCCAGGGAGCAGCTGAAGGGCCCATGCAAGGCCCCAGGAGACCATTTCCTGCGGACCAGGCCAAGAGCCACAGGCCCTGTGGTCAGACTCCCCTCCACCCACTGTCCCACGGGGGCTCTGAGACCTGGCTGGCCTGGTGCCAACTCCACAGAACAGCCCGGCCTCCTGGGTCTGGCTGCAGCCCTGGCTCTGCTTCCTGTTTTCAGATCTTGCTCCTCCCTGGGTCTCTGGAGCTGGGAAACCTGGAAACAACAGCAGACATGGTTTCTCTCTTCCATAGCCAAAAGGAAGTCATATTTCCATTGGCAAAAGCATTTCCAAGGAGGGTTGCAGGAAGTCCAAGCGTTTAAAGGCCTGCAAATGCCTGCAGGTGATTAATAATTCAGTGCAACGGATGATTCATGAGAAAGGCCACTTTCAATTAACCTTAAGAATCAGCCCCTGTCTAAGGAAGTGTCGTCTCTCATCACTTAGGAACAGAGAGGCCGTGGCAGGATAAAGGCCATGCTGAGAAACATGTTGAAGAGTGTTTCTCACATTTATGCAAATACCACCCTGGTCACCCCAGGTCCCTCTTTGTGAGGCGGGGAGGTGTTCCCTCCCAGCATCCTGTCTCCTGTCTGGTTCTGCCAGGGTGGCTCAGACTTCACTTCCTGCAGCCTCTTCTTTTCAGGAGCTCGGAGGGAGTTATCTTTCCTTGTTGGATCAGAAGCATCCCTTGGACTCCACAGAGCCACACTGGCTCCCAATGTGTCCCAGCCTACGGACAACCACTCAGGGTGCCAGGATGGAGCCCAGGGCCCTTGGATCACTCCTGTCTCCCTGGAGTGGTTTCTGCTCTCCCGCCTTCCTGCCCCCTGCCTGGCAGCCTTTCCCTTCTCCGGGCACCAGAATCCTGCCTTTTCTTTAGAAGGAACCACTTTCTCCCCCTTCCCTGTCTGCATGGTACCTGGCACTCACCTCCTCACACCTATTTCGGGGACTTTGCGTGTGACCCAGGCTCAGCATAGTACATTTCCTGGCCACAGTGGTAGGTTCAGGGGTGGGCCTGTGACCCCCAGGAGGCTAATCAGGACCAATCCTGGAGTTTTTGCGGGATCTACTGGGAAAGAGACACTCCCTTTTTGGCAGGGGTTGCGGAGCTGAAGGAGCGGAGCCCGGGTCTGTGGGGAGCACATGTGAGCAAGAAGCCGGCCCAGGAGCACAGGACGGAAGTGGAGAGGACAGAGAGTGGCTGCTGCCTCTGGAGCCCTTCGTCATGCTGTGCTACCAGCCAGCTGTCCCAGCAGGGGGGAGCACGGCTAAGACCACACCACTAGGAAGGGGCTGAGCCGGCTTTGGCGTGAGCTCTTCCAGCCCCAGGCTCCTGAGCACCGAGGCTGCCCTCAGCACAGAGCAGAATTCAGGAACTGAGGCGTGGCTTGTCTTTCCTGAACTGTCACCTCTGGTCACTCAGCCATCCCAAGGTGTACTGACCCTTCGAGGGTGGGGTCTCATCAAGCAGGGCTGTTTGTGGCAAACGACAGTTAATTTATGACTCAGCCTCCCCTGCCCACTCCCACCTGTCCGCTACCCTCCCCGCTGCTCACAGCCGCCCCACGTTCCCAGGGGAGCAGTGTGCTCAG